TGTGTATCAGAATGGGGAACCTGTATTGGAAAAACTGAACTTTCCACGTGTGTCAGGGAAAACCTTACTTCAGTCTACATCCTGTGTGGTTCTTCCCTGTGAATCTCTTTCATTAGCCACACAAAACACTTCACTTCCAAATGTGTGGCTCTTCCCCACACCAAGCAATTTTCTGTAACATCAGCTGGGTGGCCTACAATTTTTTATAAGTTTATTTTTATTTATTTTTGAGAGATAGAGCACAAGTGAGCAAGAGCAGAGAGAGAGGGAGAGAGAATCCCACACAGGCTCTTGTACTGTCAGCACAAAGCCCATGCGGTGCTCGAACTCCCAAACTGTGAGATCATGACCTGAGCCAAAGTTGGGTGCTTAAACGACTGAGCCACCCAAACACCCCCGTGGCCTATAATTTAATTCAGTTCTGACACTATCTACCCAGAGACAGCATCAGATCCCATGGGTTAAAGGGCTCAGTCCCACAACACTGTGCCTGACCCACCCCAACACACACACACACACACACACACACACTTAAGATGCCAGCCACAAGCCCAAGTTTCCTGTCACCTGTGCTTTTGACCAACTGATTATAAATTGAGGTTCCACTGACCTCCTTTGGGTTCTATAAATTTGCTAGAGCAGCTCACAGAACTCAAGGTAATATCTTACTTACATTTACTTACATTATAATACCAGTTTATTATAAAAGGAAATGATAAAGGATACAGATAGAAGAGGCAGAGCAAGGTGTATGGGAAGGGGTCGCCAGCATGCCACTCTCCCAGAGCCTCCACGTGTTCACCCACCCAGAAGCTCTCCAAACTCCATACTTTTGGGATTTTATGGAAACTTCATCCTGCAGGCATGATTGATCATTAACTTCATTTTCAGCTCCTCTCCCTTCTCAGGAGAATAGGGGCAGAACTGAAAATTCCAAGCTTCTTTTTTAAAACAATGTTTAGTGTTTATTCTTGAGAAAGAATGAGCACTCACATGGAAGCCCACCAGGGGCATGAGCGAAGGCGAGGCAGAAAGGGGGGGTTGGGTGGCAGGGAGAATCCCAAGCAGGCTCTGCACTGTCAGCACAGAGCCCCACTCTGAGCTCTAACTCATCAACTGTGAGATCATGGCCTGAGCCAAAATCGAGAGTCAGACGCTTAACTGACTGAGCCACCCAGGTGTCCTGAAAATGCCAAGCTTCCAATCATGGCTTGGTCTTTCTGGTGACCGGCCCTCGTGCAGGAGCCCACAGAGAGTTGCTCTATTGGAACAAAAAACACTCCTATGATCCATCAGGCACTGGAGTCAAAGGCCAACATTAGAACAAGAGATGCTTCTAGTCTTCTAAACTTAGGATCTTACAAAGTTTTTAGGAGTTCTGGGGCACCTGGGTGGCTTAGTCGGTTAAGCGTCCAACTTTTGCTTAGGTCATGATCTCGCGGTTCGTGGGTTCAAGCCCCGCGTCGGGCTCTGTGCTGACTGCCAGCTCAGAGCCTGGAGCCTGTTTCGGAATCTGTGACTCCCTCTCTCTCTGACCCTCCCCTGCTCACGCTGTCTCTCTCTCTCTCTCCTAGAAATAAATAAAGCATTAAAAAAATTTAAAAAAAAGGCTTTAGGAGTTCTATGCCAGGAACCTGGGCCAGAGACCAGTATATATTTTCTATTATCTCATGGGGATATATAGAAATTATTTGTACTATTTTTGCCATTTCTATAGCTCCGAAAGTATTTCAGAACAAAAAGTTAATAATAAAATACATGCACACATAGAACCATATATCCAACTTGATATCTCTCCTAGGGTATCACCTAGACTCTTCAGACTCAAGCCCAAAACCGAATTGGGCACCTAATCTTCCCCTTTGCCACCCTTCCGAAGCTGATCTTCTTCCAGTAGTCCATATCTTTAAAAAAATTATTTTTAATGTTTATTTATTTTTGAGAGAGAGAGAGAGGCAGAGCATGAGCAGGGGAGGGGCAGAGAGAGAGGGGGACAGAATGTGAAGCAGGCTTCAGGCTCCAAGCTGTCAGCATAGAGCCCGACGGGGGGCTTGAACTCACAAACCGTGAGATCATGACTTGAGTCGGACACTCAATTGACCGAGCCACCCAGGCACCCCCCCAGTAGTCCAGATCTTATGGAATAAATGCTATCCATCCAGATGCACAAACATGATACCCATCCTTGACACTTCCCCTCCTGTAACTCATCTAATACCACATCCTATGAATTCCCTCCTAATATGTATCTTGTAGGCACAATTTCTCTCCACCTCCACCGCGGCCACCTTGATCCAGGCCATCATCATCTCTCACCTAGACTGCTACTCCCGGCTGGTCTCCCTGCTTGCCCTCTTACCTCTCTGACAATTCACACTGCAGCGAGTGATCTTTGCAAAATACAAATTTAAAGATGGCTTAATGCAATGCATGCATGATCCTTGATTGGCTTTCCAAAACTAAAAAGCTATAAAGAATGCTAATGAGACAACTAGGGGAATTTGACTGTCAACTTTTTTTAGACAATAGTATTATAGAAGATTAAATGTCTTGAATGTGGTAATGGTATTGTGATGATGCAGGAAAATGTACTTGTTCTCAGAAGATATATGCTGAAGTAGATAACGGTGCAATGTAAACATTTTTGCAACTAACTCCCAAATGATTCAGCAAAAATAACCACTATTTTATTATTGTTATTACATAAGTACAAATTGAAAGAGAGACAAAGCAAGTCAGGTGAAATGTCAGTGAATCTGGATGAAGGGTAAACAGGGTGCTCATTGTACTAACCTTGCAACTTTCCTGAAAGTTAAAAAATTTTTTTTTCTTTCTTTTTTTAATTTCTAGGAGAGAGAGAGAGAGAAAGACAGCGTGAGCAGGGGAGGGTCAGAGAGAGAGGGAGATACAGACTCTGAAATAGGCTCCAGGCTCTGAGCTGGCAGTCAGCACAGAGCCCGACGCGGGGCTTGAACCCACGAACCGCGAGATCATGACCTAAGCGAAAGTCGGACGCTTAACCGACTAAGCCACCCAGGCGTCCCCCCCAAAAATTTTTTTAAGGCTAGGGAAAACATATGTCATTATGTTAAATTACTTGAGTGTGATAAGTTTAATGTTTATTTATTTTTGAGACAGAGTACAAGCTGGGGAGGGGCAGACAGAGGGAGACAAAGAATCTAAAACAGGCTCTGTGCTGCCAGCTCAGAGCCCCATGCGGGGGATCGAACTCACAAGCTGTGAGATTATGGCCTGAGTGGAAGTTGGATGCTTAACCGACTGCGCCACCCAGGCGCCCCGAGTGTGATAAGTTTATTGTGGTTATACAGAACGTTCTTGTTCTTAGGATATATGCGTTGGAGTACCTAATGGTGAAATGTCTGTGCTATCTGTAACTTATTTTCAAATGTTCCAACCAAAAAAAGTATATAAATATATTTTTAAAAGTATATAGGCATATACAAAGTACTTAAACATATATGTATGTAAGTATATTATATACATAAATGTAAAAAATAGTGAAAGGTAGAAAGACGTTGCTTTGGTTTCAACTTTTCTGCAGCTTTGGCATTTTTCCCGAATTAGAAGGTGGGGGAAATACTTAGAAAACTGTGAAGATATAATCGATTAAAGATACAAAATAAAATACAAATTGAAAGCTTAGACATCATCTTGGAAAAAATCCCATCCTGTTACAGCTCTGCTTAAAATCTTCATTAATACTGCCCACTGCTCCCAGGATAAAGAGAAAGCCACCTAATAAGGCCTACAGGGCCGGGCCGGTCCAGCCCCTGCCTTCTCCCAAGCAGGCCTTCCTACTCACTTCCCATTATCATCATCTCTGACCCCTGGGCTCCAACTACCCCCGACTTCACCTAAAGTAACCACTCCCCCAAGGTTCCCTCTCCTGGCCTTTGCCTGTGCAGCTACCACAGCCTGACAACGGAGGGACTGAGATGGGCTTTCGTTCTGTCTCTTCTAGACTCTTACCCTAAAATCTCCTCTGAAGTTTTCTCTGCACCCCCAAGGCTGGGCGACAGGACTCCTCGGAATCCTGCTCTCTCAGTGCCATTGAAGAGCCAAAAGTTAAGTCCTCCATTAAGAGAAACCTCGGGCTGCACGTAGCCCCAGTTCCAGTCCCAGGAAAAGCCTCAGACTGGTCAAGGCTAAAGCCATCCTCAGACCGCCCTCAGTTCAGTTAACCAAAAAGAAAAAAAAAAAAGAAAGAAACAGTCCTATGGTCTGAGTCAAGGCTGGAAACTGCAGATACAAACTAGCCAATTTCTCACTCCTTGTCTGAACCCCACATGGGCCCTTTGAACTCACCTCACAATTGGTCATTTTCAAAGGATTCTCAAAAGTCATGATTGGGTCCCACCAAAAGTAATGAACACCTCACAGATACTGAATGGTCAAAGCTGTAATTGTAATTGGTGCTTATGTGATGATGCTACATGTACTGTAACACCCCCATCCCTTACTCCTTAAAAACCCTGTTCGCTAATGTTCTTCACTTCACCTTGCTGCCACGACACCGGTAGGCTGGTGAGCCCCTGCTCGAGCTTGTAATAAAGACCCTTTTGTACTTGCATTGGTGCCGGCTCCTTGGAGGTCTCTGGGACTCGCGATTCGGGCACAACATCATCACAGCACTTAGCACATGGTGTTGTAGTTGCCGCTTACGTGTTCATCTTCAGTGTTCTGTACGCTCCTTGAGGACAGGGCCTGCTTTATTCAGGACTGGTCTGTGCACAGTAATTCTGTATCCGTAAATGAAATGGGCTTCTATTTTCTTGTATATACAATAAAAGAATTCGAATAGATGACAATAAAATGCAACAAATAACAGCAGTCCCAACTGCGCGGGAATTCCCGGGGTGGTTTTTTTTGCATCACTCTGCTTCAAATCCTAAAAGCACCAGGGGGGCGGGGATCTCAGACTACAGTTCCCGTGAGACCTCGGGGCGTCACGTGGTGTCCGCCCATTCTCCTATCGCGTAGCCAGAACTCCATTTCCCAGCGTGCCTCACGACGCCGCGGCCTCGCTCCGCAGAGAACTTCAGGAGCCGGGTTTCTGACCGACGGCCGCGGGAGCCAAGGCTGAGCGGAAGGTAGAAAGGGCCCAGCCTGGGGTTCAGAGGGGACACGGGCTCCGCCACAAGCCCGGAGTCACACCTACCCTACGTTTGCAACCTCCTGCCCACTCTCTGCTAAACGTGCCTCTCGCGGGCCCTTTCCAGCCCCTCCCTTCCTCCCCCAGTCCCCTCCTGTCCCCTTCCTGTCTCCTCCCCTTCGTTCTTCTGCGGTCCGCGGTTGGGGGCCAAATCCCGCCCCCACCCCCATCCCCCGCCTCACACAGGGGAAAGGGGCGGTGTCTGGAGTCGCGGCGGGCACCCAGCGGGAGCCGGGTGTGGCTGTGGGCGGCCGGAGATGGGGGACTGGGCGCTCCGCAGGTGGAAGGCCCAGGTCCTCACTGTTCTGCGCCCTGTCTCTGCAGTAGCCGATGCTGAGGGTGCAGCTGGTCGGGCGCCTGTTCCCCATGGCCGGCCGCGTCTGTCTGTCCCGGAGCAGCGCCGGCTTGGGGACTGCCGGTCCCGTCGAGGCAGCCATTCGCACGAAGTTAGAGCAGGCCCTGAACCCCGAGGTGCTGGAGCTGCGCAACGAGAGCGGCGGCCATGCGGTCCCACCGGGCAGCGAGACGCATTTCCGCGTGGCGGTGGTGAGCTCTCGCTTTGAGGGACTGAGCCTCTTGCAGCGCCACCGGCTGGTCCACGCCGCCCTGTCTGAGGAGCTGGCCGGGCCGGTCCACGCATTGGCCATTCAGGCACGGACCCCCGCCCAGTGGAAGGAGAACCCGCAACTGGACACAAGCCCCCCTTGCCTGGGTGGGAGCAAGAAAACTCGGGGAACCTCCTGAGCCCGCAGAGAGGGGAGACCAGCATCCCGATGATTTGGAAATAAACCACGGGCTTTCTTCCCTTCAATACCGTCTGGTGCTTGTGAGGGAGGAGGCTCCTTGGGCCCCGTTCAGCCAGCACATGCGTCTTCCCTGGAGATAGCAGCTCATTTCTGATCAAAGCTTGTCTAAGGGCAGAGTGGAATCACTCACCTGCCCTTGCCTTGGACTATTTGGGAAAAGCTGCCTCTCGTTTTATGTTAAATTGGGACTAAGGAGACCTGATGAGTTGGAAATAGTCCTGTTTATCAAAAGATAAATTATCATAGGAGACACACTGCTTTGTGTTGTTCGTGGCCAGTTGAGGAGTGCTACGATGTTCTTGGGAGAAGATACCTGTAGCCTAGGGTAGGCATGAAGGGTTTCATTGTGGGGAGTGGTCTAATTGGATCTTTAAAGGAAAGCACAGAATTAAACCAGAAAGGAGAGGAAGGATGTTCCAGGGAGGGGCATAGAAACTGGACTGAGCAGCAATGAGTGGAGAGGCAGGAGTTATAAATACATTTGAATTTCATACTGGCGGCATGTTGGGCTTTCTATCAGCCTATCCATTTCCAAAAGGATTTGCATTTGTTTCTCAGAAAAATCCTTAATGCAGGGCGCCTGGGGTGGCTCAGTTGGTTAAGCACCTGACTCTTGATCTTGGCTCAGGTCGTGGTCGCATGGTTCGTGGGTTAGAGCCTGGCATGGGGCTCTGCAGTAATGATGCAGAGCCTGCTTGGGATTCTGTCTCTCCTCCCCGCCCTTCGCCTACTTGTGCTCTATCTCAAAATAAATAAACTTTGAAAAAGGAGAAAGAAAAATCCTTAACAAGACCAAATGAAAACCAAAACACACTAAGGCAGTGAAAAGATGACAACATGATGGAAAATAAGTATAGAAGATGGAGAAAACTTTGTATAGCCCCCCCTTTTTTTTTTTTTAATTATTTATTTCTGAGAGACAGAGCATGAGCAGGGGAGGGGCAGAGAGAGAGGAGAAACAGAATCTGAAGCACACTCCAGGCTCTGAGTCATCAGCACTGAGCCAGACGCAGGGCTCAAACTCCCAAACTGCGAGATCATGACCTGAGCCGAAGTTGGACGCTTAACCTACTGAGCCCTTTTTCTTAGGAGCCTTCTAGAGTCCTGTTTCTGATGGGAGCTCAGGTGATGTCTAGCTAAGCACCTTTGATGACCTTCATGTGGCAAGAGAATTCATACTAAAGAAAAAGATTAACATCCATCTTGAGCATTTTGAGCTCAAGGTTAGACTGCCAGGTTGGACAATAGGAAGTCATTGAGGAATGACATGCCAAAGAGCATTTGGGGGCAGATCCTTCTGGCAGTGATGTGTAAGGGGGTTGATAGGAGATTGGAGGCATAGAGAGCAACCAAGAGTGTAGACAGAACCCTGACTTCAAGGTGAGCAGTAGGAATGGAAAGGAAGGAGTTTTATTTCAGAGCTACCATAAAAAGTCAGAAAATACCTTGATGAGAACAGAAATGTGAGGGGAAGTCAAGGGTAATACCCAGGCGGTGCTTTCCAGATAGCCTAACAGATAAGAATTCCCACAGAAACTTGTTTCAAATGGGGATTCTAGGTCCCCTCTCTTTACGGGAAAAAAAAAAGATTCTGATTCCACAAGAACAGAATCTGGAATCTGTCTTTAAAAGACAAGCGAATTCAGAGGAAAGCTGGCTCTATCCTCAAGAAATATTCATAAAGGGGTTTTAAATTTTAGTTTTGTAAATTCTGTTTTATTATGGTAGTAACACTTAACATGACGTCTATTCTCAACCAGTTTTTAAGGATACAGTTCATTATCGTTGACTATAGGTCCAGAGTCATACACTCTAGGGCTTATTCCTCTTGCTTAACTGAAACTTCTGCTTTTTGATGAGTGACTCCCCGTCTCCTCCTCTCCCCTGCTGCTGGCAACCGTCATTCTACTCTTTGATTCTATGAACTTTGACTATTGTTAGATAACTATTGGAATTATTTGGTATTTGTCTTTCTGCGACTGGCTTATGTGACTTCATGTCCTCATGGTTGGCTCATGTTATCACATGAATTCTTCAAAAAGAATTTCCTTTTTAAAAGCTGAATAAGGCTCCCTTGTACATATATGCCACCGTGTCATCAGTTCTGCCAACGATCATTTAGGTTGTTTCCATGTCTTCGCTCTGGTGCATGGTGTTGCCAGGAACACGGGAGGGCTAATGTTGCCAAGGTCCTTGTTTCAGTTCTTTTTTTTTTTTTTAAACGTTTATTTATTTGTGAGAGAGAGACAGACAAAACGTGAGCAGGGGAGGGGCAGAGAGAGAGGGAGGCACAGAATCCAAAGCAGGTTCCAGGCTCTGAGTGAAGTGTCTCCTTGTGGTTTTGGTTTGCATTTCCCTGACCGGTAGTGGTGTTGAGCATTTTCCCATATACCTATTTGTGTGTCTTCTTTGGAGAAAGGTCTATTCAAGTCCTTAGCCCCCTTTTAAAATCAGGTTATTAGTTGCTTTTGCTATTGACTTGCAGGACATTACTCCTAAGTTTTCAAATCCCAGAGACTGGGAGGGCCCTCCACCTGCAGAAGCGAAAAGGTCAGGAGAGAGGGGCCAACTGAGGAAAGACACGTGGTGCATCCTATTATCCTGGCTTCCAGTTTGGGGAGAGAGGAATAGCATTTCCGTCTCTCCACCTTTCCCTCCAGGCAAGCAGAAGGTTGGTTGTAGGTGGAGAGGCAAAGAAGGCGATGTAGCCATTTTGGATTTTAAGGATTTGTTTCTTTTTTTTATTTTTCATCAATATTTTTCATTTCATTTTTCACAACAACAGAGTTGGGTGTAGGGTTCCCCAGGAGCACAAGAGAGATGGATGGGTCCCTCCGGGGTGGGTAGAAGGGAGAAGGCTGCGTCCAGCAAATGAAGGGTGAGGAAAGGGGGCACACACTCATACACTGGGCACAGGAGAGGGCAGTCCTTTGAGCACAGACACCAAAGAGTTAAACAGTCCCCACCTGGGTCAGTGTTACAAAATGGGGGGAGCGACTATAGGGTGAGGGCACCGGACGCAGCGCGAGGAAGGTGAATTTGGATTTTTTGTTGTTGTTTTCACTTTTTTTTTCCTTTTCACTTGTTTTTTTTTGTTAACATTTTACAAACAGCTAAAAACTACAACACATCACAGCTACAGTGGAGGGCAGTTGGGCACCAAAGAAAGCAGCCACACAGAGTGGGGTGGGGCAAGGGTAGCTTAACCTATGGGGGGTTCCGTGTAGAAAGGGTGAGATGGGGAAACTGAGGCTTCTGGTCCCACACTAGGGGTCCCCGGCTTATTGCCCAACCTCTTCCCACTAGAGAGGCGTTGCTGGGAGGGCCCCTGACTCCTGCCCCCACCCCAGCCCCTTGTGCTTTTTGATCTGCTGGTTTGACCATATGCCTGGTTTCTTTCCCTCCACTGCTACCCTGCGTGTGAGGGGACAGGCTGGGAGGGGGGGTGGCAGCTGTGCTTTCCCGGTCTGTGCTATAGTGGGTGGAGCCTCTCGCTCCAGGGGCCTGTGCTTCTTGAGAGGAGGGGATGTGATGGACCTTGTCGGGTGCCCTCAGGTCTCTCTGGACTGTGGGACTTTTATCCTAGCCTGGCCTGGGGCGCCTCCCTCCCAGACCTGGCACAGAAATAAGGTTAGGGGCGGTACTGTGGGAGGCAGGGTAGTGTGTGTGTCCACTGAGATTACCCTTGGCTGTATCTTAGGACAGTACAGTGACCCCCTGCCCCATGGCACATACACACACACACATAAGTGTTCCACATGCACTCACACACACAGGCCTGCTGAGCTGCCTCGGAACTTAATGTATAAGTAAATAAGGATCAGAACGCTAATTTCATAAAATTCAGGCTTCTTACTTCTAGCCCAAATTGAGGGGGAAGTGGAGGCCAGGGGGCTGAGGTTTATTGCTACTCCCCCAGCATCCAACTGGTGTGAGAGGGCGCCCGTGGCCCTTCCAGCTCTTAAGTTCTTTTGGTCCATGGACGACACCAAGCCCCAGACCCCGGCACAACCACAGGCCCATGGTTTCACCAGAGCATAGGTGGAGGGAATGGGGGAAGGGCGGGAAGCCTGTGCTGGGGCCCCTCACTAACACTGGGGGAGAAGGGTGTGCACGTCGGGGGGGTAGAGCTGCATCCCGAAACTGGGATGAAGGGGCCTTCCCTGTATCCCTGCCCACGGGGTCACACACATGCACACGCGCGCACACACGGCGAAGACACTGAACATGGGCGAGTGGGGAGTGGGGGCTCTGGGGCCAGGGCGGCAGGGCAGGGAGGGAGGAGAAGGGGCTGTCGGTCTCACAGTGTGCCTGCCACCCACAGCGCCCTGAGACCCTGTCACTGCAGCACCTGCCCCCGCGTCTCGGGCAGCTTCAGGGCCAGAGAGCTGCCGAGGGCAAGGGCAGCCGAGGCAAAGAGGATGGGGGCGGCCTTGGTGATCCCCACGAAGGACGTGAAGATGCTGATCCCCAGCACGGCTGCCAGCTTACAGAGGGCGTTCAGGAAGCCGAAGGCGGTGGTCCTGCTCGGCCGGAGGGGGGTGGGTCCATGCGGTGCAGAGGCAAGGAGGATTTGCGGGGGACAGGTGAGCGGGTGGGAAAAGTGAAGGAGAGACCGCAGGCCGTGTGCAGAAGGGAGATGACGACGGACAGAAAGATCAGAGAGGTGCGGGATGTACATGGGGGAATACAGACGGGGAGGTATAGGGAAAAGAAGACCAAAACATTAGGTGGATAGTTAAGACTTCAAGGAGTGAATACAAAATCTAGAAGCTCTTGGAGGGGAAACTCAATGGGGATATGTAGCCTTTTAACCCCGCAGATGGTTTCCCACTCAGCCTGCTTCCTCACCCCACTTTCCCGCCACCGCAGAGACCCTAAACCGGCTGCCCTGCCCCCACGACACTCCAGCTACCTCTTGTCTGAGGGGTAGAGTTCAACAGTCAGCACGTCCAGCGCGTTCCAGGATGCAATGCTGACCCCCCCAAAAAGGCAGAGCAGAGCGATCATGGCTGACTCGCTGTTCCCAAAAGACAGGAAGAAGCAGGAGACACAGGACATCACGCTGGAGCCGGCTAGAGCCAGGAGAGGAGGGAGCGGCTTGAACCCAGGCAGGTGGTGCCCACCCACAACCCGCCCTGTGCCGTCAACTAGGTGAGCGGAGCCCTGGAGGAGATTCTTCTAACCAGAGTACTCAAAAGGAAGGCTCTTCGCTCCTCCCCAGCCTGCCTTAGAACTGTATTTTTATGAATAA